TGTTAACGTAGGCTCGTTTGACATATACCGATTTACACCATCTCTGGTTTAGTAGATGTGATATCTGATTGTCGACCAGTAGTTCACTCTGTCCTCCTGTATGCCTATGAGACCCGACAATTGAGAGTGGAAGAAATGAAAAGGTTAGCTGTCTTTGACCACATGTCTGCTTTCTGTTTCCCGCGTCAAGTGGTATAATATGTTCAGTGATATTGAGGTTAGTCATCGAGTGTTAGGTAAGGAAAGTAAATGACTTAGACAGGTTTGTGAAGGTGGATCGATTGAGATGATCAGTACAAATGTTCTGTTTGCAGAACCTTCGGCTTCCTCGACAAGCAATCATAGCCGATATGGGGTTAGTTTCGAAAAGGATTAGGTGTATCAAAACCGAAATTGGAATCAGTCAGTGAAATCTTTCACAGTTAGTTAGAACCACGTCGCGAGGTATAGACTGCGTGATTGGGGTCTTCGAGATGGTGAGGACCAACAGTTGGAGACTATTTATGATATGACTTAAAACCACTGCCAGTGGCGCAGATGCATTCCCTCTTTGTGGTCTCCCATATCCACTAAACCTTCATCCTTTATCATGTTACTGTTCTTTCTCCGTCACATTTCTGCTTGTTATAATATTTCTGGATCTCTTTTTTCTCTTTTCCTTTGTGTACTACATAGAGTGTGGCAGCTTGAGCTGCTGCAATTCTGTGCAAAGTTCTATGTTGAAACCAGCCATAGTCTCTCATTGATCGTTGTCTGATTGTTTGTGTGAGGTCTGACATATTGCCTGGGCACCCAAACCGAAGGAGGTGGTTGTCTTAAGGGAAACCCCCTCCACTCCAAACCTCCAACCTGAAGTCTGATTCACGAGGCAATGGAGTAGCATTAAGAGCTGCGTCCTCAGGGTTTCTGGCGCCTCAAACACGTTGGTCATACACTATTCGAATCGTTGGGAGTTCTGGAGCCCATGTGTTCCATTGGCTTGTAGTTAAGGTTTTCCATCTCCCTAGGAAGGCCTGCTTGTCCACGAGTCTGGTTGTGTAAGCGTTGGATCTTCGGACTCACCATTTCACTTTTGTGGGAATAGCCTCCACCACGTGAAGGCAGTGCCTACAACTTACCCGGTGGCAGAGGCTACGGGCGCTTGTTTACATGGGAGCATTTCGAGAGGAGAACTGAAGCCCACTCATTTCCTGCCGTACCAGGTCGTTGCGGGCCTGTTGATCAAAGGTATGTAGATAGTGAATTTAGCTTATGGGCTTAAACACTCGACTTGCAGTCATTGGGCCCAGCCACTGTTTCAAATCCTGCTCTCCACACACTCCAGCTGAAGCAATTGGATAGTACCATCGATTCTCACACCATAGGTGTGTTGCTCATTCGCATGTTACATGAGAAATCTATTTCGGGGGGGGGTTCCTAATTGTGAGTGATAACAGATTATAGATCAGGTGTGTTATGCGATGCTGTCAGAATTCTTCGAAGAGTCATATGGTTTTTTCAGAAGGATGATTATATTGTGGCAATATGCGCTGACGAATTACAATTCCTCTGTGTAATGTTGCATGGATGGATTGCTTAGCTGGGAGTGTTATGCAGTCCCCTTCATTATGGTATCTGTGTACTATAGATGTCATGAAAGAGTAAACAGACGATCCAAATTCCTACTTACCGAAGCGCATACACTGCAGGGTTATCTTCCTCATTTATGAACGTAAACCAAAGAACTAAATGGCTCACAGACATTGAATAGTGCAATTACGCAACGATGGTCATATTATGAACAATCTGAAGGTGTTGAAAATAATCAATAGACAAAAGAAATCTCACTTGCTGCGGCGTTTTGCTGAGACATCAAACAACTAAAACTAAATCTCTCTATGTATTACAGAAAGAGATAGTACACTGCTCTGGTGATTTATACTTACATATCAAAGTATGCGATTTTATTACGTCTTTGAATTCTTGCATATCTCTGCCTTGTTCAGAAGATTTTATTGTTTCGTCTGAACTTTTCTCACCCTGCCTCCCCCTCCCTATTTTGCTACTAACCCCCAACCCTTACTCTTACGATTCGTTAACTCTTGCATCCTGCTCATTATTCTCTATTGTTCCCCCTTAGTTTTTCCAGGGCTACTGAAGAAGGACTATATCTTATTACGTAGGATGTTAAAGGTTGTCAGTAGGGTAAATAACGTGCCACTTAACCAGTTTACTAATATTCTGGTCGACAGGCATTTGGACTCATGTGAAAAATGGGCTCAATCCATTTTATCTAACTCACACCACCCTCTTCATTCACAACTCTCCCCTTGTATCTCATCGGGCAGAACCAGAAGCGTATATAGAAAACTATGTGCTCGCACTAGCAAGTACAAAAACTCAACTCAACCATAGCCTACTTAGCTCGTGTTCTGTGCGATAAAGGAAGCATTAGGCGTGAAACTTATAACTTATTAAATAGTCAGTAGAACAAATAGATCTCGTCTTTCCAACTCATATCATTTATAGGTACAACGTTTTTCGTTCTTTCTTTTCCTTTTCTCTCTCTCTTTTTTGTTATGTGCTGCTTTGTTTCTCTCTTCCTTACAAACTCTACTTAAAACATTCTTCTTCGTTCTTTCACACTCTGTATATCTCCACCTTTTTGTTATCGCTTACGCCAGTGAATATGCTAGTATCTACTTTTCTAACACCTTCAAACATTCTGTTCACTTTTGGCCTTGCTACAGACATGCCAATATTTTGTTGTCAAAACTAACTGAGACTATCCATATTCTATGTAGAATTTTATTTTATTGTTAATGTACAAACTGGATGCTCAGTACTCTAATGAAATGCTGAGAATTCCATTCTGTATCACAAGTACAAGTTTTGGAATAAAGCAAATTATTACTATTATTATTATTACTATACAAAAAACGTTTTCTATACTTAAATAACCTGTTATATTGTTGTACTCTGTCTGGCTAAACTCTATACAAAGATTTTAAACTTTATTCTCAAGAGTATTGGTCTAATTATCCTCATGTTATCTTGCTTTGTTTGATTCGTCAAGTGCTGGTGTGCAAGGATTTGATTGATCTCAAATGAGATCTGAATCATATCGTCGTGATCTGTGTACATTAATCAAAAGTATTACTCAGTTAGATAAGAGATTTGTATACGAAGCAATAAACTGTGTTCAAGTCACACTGTTTTTTTGAGTGGGAGTGGGGTGGGTGGATGTAGTTTTTACAGTTCAAGCACCCACCTCTTAAGAATCAATAGTGTGCGTCATTTTTTCTTTTCTTCGCTTTCCTAATGGAATATAGGGTCTCAAGCTTTGATCGTTAAAGTTTTCATAGCTGTGATGTTTATTTTTTACAAGATGGTATTGTCAGCCCCCATGCCCAACCTCCCCACTTTACCGAGATTACTGCCAGCTAGTCAAAGTTTAGGTTGTCGGCCGGGGATCGAACCCCGGACCATGTGGGGCGTAGTTGACGAGTATCCAACCGCTGATGGATGAGATTTCCAACATTATAATGAAAGCTAGGGTGGCATACATCAAATTGAGCCACCTATGGCGCCGTCGCGATGTTAGCCTGGCTGTCAAAGGTCGGGTATGAAATGCTTCGGTGCGGACTGCCTTGCTCTACGCCTGTGAAACCTGGCCTCTCCGAGTGGCGACTCTGTGTGTTCGATCATCGCTGTCTCCGTAGGATTGCTTGCGTTTGATGGCATCATCGCGTGAGTAATTCTGAGGTTCGCCAGCGTGTGTTTGAACACTGTGGAGATCACCATTCATTGAGTGTCGTCATCTGAAAACACCGGCTCCGGTGGCTTGGACATGTGCTTCGAATATCATCCCGAAGGCTTCCGTACAGGTCTCTGTTCACTAGCCAGCCCTGGGACGGGGTGGAAAAGGTGGAGGGGTGGTCAGTGCATGACGTGGCATCGTGGGATGAAGGATGTTTGTGCTAGATTAGCATCGGTTGGTGCGTCGTCACGACTCTGTGGTTGGGGTCTGCGAGATAGCTCGAAGCGTTATCGGATATGGCCAAGAATCGCAGTCATCAATGGTGAACGTGTTGCAATTTCCTTCTTTCTTCTCTTCCCGATGATAGTTAACGATTACTGTTTGAACTTGTTGAGTATGACTGTTTTCCTTCCAGATGAAGTTCTTTATCCGTTCTCTACTTATATTTTTTTACTTTTGATCTATTTTTTTTATTTACAGCTTGATTTCACACTGTATTTTTGGTACAGTATGGAATTTTCAACATGGATATCGGTAGCCCAAATTTTGCAGGCCGACCATAGATATCAGGTATGCGTCGGCGGGTGCTCGAACCCGAGTGCATGGTCGGCGAGAGTCGTAACCACTGTGCCACTGTGTGCGCATCTTTCTTGGTGCTATATTGTATCAAGTTGTTTTTCTGCGTTTAAATAAAATAAAAAAGTTCCAACCTCTGAATCATCGATAGCGTATTCTGTAATTCTATTTCAAGTCTTTTTATCCGATAAGCATTTCCCTTTACACATTCATTTCGTATCTAGGCATCAGTGGTGTTCAATGGTCGAATGCTCGTCAACCGTGTGGTACGCGCTGGTATGTCTGAAAAAGTTTTGGTACAGGTATGGAATTTTCAGCATGTGATATCGGTAGCCCAAATTTTGCAGGCCTACCATAGATGATAACAGGTGTGCTTCGGCAGGGAATCGAACCCAGAACCATGTGCATGGTTGGCGAGAGTCCTAACCTCTGTGCCACCGACGCGGTTAAAGGGATGATCCGAAGACCTCCCCACTAGTGAAAACTACGCGTCCGAGCGAGCCCGATTAGGGATCGTCGAAGGCTTCAACACGCCAAATTTCAAGGGCGAGACTCCATCTGGGACCAGGGAATTCATGATCACCCTGGTCCAGGCGCCAAGAATGAGAGAAGTAAGAATTCTATCCCACATCATACTATCCCTACTGATAAGATTTCTCTTTTCTTTCTGTTCTATGCTGTGTAGATACAGTCAAGCAGCTAAAATTATTGAATCACGTCGAACAAAATACACGGATTTTGAATTAATTAAAGTTATCGGTCAAGGCGGATTTGGTCGAGTGGAATTAGCTCGACATAAGCGTACACGACGTGTATATGCAATAAAATTAATGAGTAAACAACACCTATTGGATCATAGTCAATCAGGTTATTGGGAAGAACGTGATGTTATGGTGAAAGCATCAAGTGAATGGTTAGTAGCTTGTCATTATGCATTTTTGGTGAGTTATTATTATTATTGTTGTTGATGGTGTTGGTGTTGATGTTTTTATTTGTGTGCTAAGTTTTCTCTTTCTCTCTCTTCTTTTTTTAATTTGTTTATTTGTTTACTTTTGATTTTTACCTATCCACACTCTCATTGATCGAATCCAGTGCACACATAGGTTTTTCTTCCAAGGATTTTAATGAATTTGCATAAAACTGCCTACTATTGATTGATTGAGATAAGTAGATGTTGTGTATACTGTTATGTACTCGTCGCTGAATTATTGTTATGGACTGGTCGAGAAACTAATAGTCCTGACGCGAGAAGGCGGAAATCAGAAGACCACTAGGTTTGCGATGATACTTCTATTGTCCAAACACAAGGAGACGAAAATAAATGGTCTCACACCAAAGTGGTAAGTAAGTAAAGTAGTTGTAAAGTAAAGTAGTTCACACAAATTGTGAATGCGAATATATATAAATAATTCAGACAAGCGTGGGAAAAATCATTAGACAGTCTTAACATGAATGGCTAATTATAATGGAGTGTCGATCCAATTATACATAGCGAATATAGCAGACATGCCAACAAACATATATGGATATATGTCACCAAGCAACGGACTGTCAACAAACACTCATATTATATATAATATAATATAAGGAGAATACACATTATTAAAGGAGACAAGTCCATACAAGTGAAGTGGTCACAGACTAACCGAGCAAACAGAAAGAGAGACCAACATGCACACACACATAAATATATATATGTGGATACATATCACCTCCCCTTTTGAGAAGATGATGATTAGTAGGATGTTTACCTGGGGGTTTATCTGGGACCTTTGGGCTTGTTGTTGACGCCTGTCGTTTCGTCTGATTGTTGGGTTTGCGGCTTCGGCTCCGTCCGGAATTGTCTAGCATTTTATGCTTCTTCCTGTATTGCGTAGAGAATTTAGTGGGACATCAGCCAGATGCAAACGATCGAACCAATCAAGTCCCAAAACATTTAAATCATTCTTCGTGACGTAACAAATTCCTGTGAATTTGGTATTGCGGAAGGAAACAGAACATTTGAGTTCACCAATTAGTTTGAGCCGCCCACCACAGGCGCTGAGAAGAGACTGGGAAGTATTGGTGATAGGTGGTCTGCCAATATAATTCCAAAGTTTCTCTGATATAACAGTAATATCAGAGGCAGTATCTAGCTGCAGACGAGTATCATGACCATTCATCTGAAGGTCAATATATTTCCGCATAGCTGGTGTTGTGACTTGACAGGTTGCGCGTAGACTCAATGACTTTTTGGGGATTTAGGACCAACATTTTGTTGAGCTTTTGCTGGATTTGATATCTGGGTTTGCGTGGCTGACAAAAACCATTTTTGTGACCGATGATTTGCACTTGCTGCAACGATGATTTTTGTATGGACAAGACTTTACAAAGTGCCACGCGCCACAATGCCAGCATGGTGATGGTGGGGTCTTCTTTGCAGTATTTTGTGAAGTTGGACGAGTATGTGTAGATTTCCGCGGAACATTAGAGAAGTAGGTGGGTCAGGAGTAGCTGATGAGAGATTTTTGCTCTTCGTAATGCACGAATATCAGAGCTTCTCGGGGTGTTGATTCGACCAGGTGTGTGTCTTTCTGCAGATTAATCAGCCGTTGATATTCATCAGCTATGTCATGTAATGTTAACTTGGGATTTTGTTCTAGCTGATTGAGCAGTCGAGTTCGGATATCTGTGAAACGAGGAGATTGGAGACTGCATATGAGAATCAAGGCTTTGAACGATCATCTGTTAAGGACCTGAGTCGAAATCTCTCACATTCTCGGTTGACTGTGCCAACGTGAGTAAGAAAATCATCATTTTCATTCATTGCCAGCTTGAGGCAACGATAACGTATACTGAATAATGAGGAGTGGTCTCCGAAATGTTCACGCAGCAACTTTATTGTATCATCGAAACAATTGTCACGTGGTTTCTGTGGTAAAATTAGGTTGCAGTACCGTTCATATTCTGCCGGACCCAATTTACGTAGCAAAACTCGCACCTTCCAGGCATCGTCTTGTGAGGCGAGATCAACAGTGAATAAAACGTTGATACCATGTGTCAAAAGTGACATTAGCCTCTGGGTCATAATTGAACTGTGAAATGCTGTTCACAATTCCGTCGACAGATGGTAGCATGGTATGATTGGGATTGCTTGAAGGTGGAGCTGGACCAGTCTGTTGGTTGACGAACATTTCCATTAATTTCATTTGTCGTTCAAACAATAATTCCAATTTAATAGGATCCATAGTAAATTGTTATGTTGTTGCTGCTGTGTGGTTAATAGTAGTTTTCCCCGTCGCCAAATTGTTATGTACTAGTTTCCCGTCGCCAAATTGTTATGTACTAGTTTCCCCGTCGCCAAATTGTTATGTACTAGTTTCCCCGTCGCCAAATTGTTATGTACTCGTCGCTGAATTATTGTTATGGACTGGTCGAGAAACTAATAGTCCTGACGCGAGAAGGCGGAAATCAGAAGACCACTAGGTTTGCGATGATACTTCTATTGTCCAAACACAAGGAGACGAAAATAAATGGTCTCACACCAAAGTGGTAAGTAAGTAAAGTAGTTGTAAAGTAAAGTAGTTCACACAAATTGTGAATGCGAATATATATAAATAATTCAGACAAGCGTGGGAAAAATCATTAGACAGTCTTAACATGAATGGCTAATTATAATGGAGTGTCGATCCAATTATACATAGCGAATATAGCAGACATGCCAACAAACATATATGGATATATGTCACCAAGCAACGGACTGTCAACAAACACTCATATTATATATAATATAATATAAGGAGAATACACATTATTAAAGGAGACAAGTCCATACAAGTGAAGTGGTCACAGACTAACCGAGCAAACAGAAAGAGAGACCAACATGCACACACACACATAAATATATATATGTGGATACATATCATATACCCACTCATATCAACCAGTAAGTTATTATTTTGTTCCCTTGGGTTCCTAGTGGAACATAGGGCTTCAACTGCACTTCTCCACTTGCCACTTCTGTCTTCTCTGCTGTACTTTTCACCTGCATCCATGTTAGTTAGTCCATACTGTGTTTCAACTCCTCTTCACACGATCTCCTCCATGTCACCCTTGCACCGACGACCCACTCGCCGCTTCCCATTCTGCGGGTTCCACTTTAGCAATGGCCTGACGCTCGCGCGATATCACCAAGTGGCCTCCTCAGCGAGTGTCCAATCCATCTCCACTTTCTCCTGCATATTTGTTGGTTGGCGATTGGTTTCTTGTTTTGTTTCTTCCCAGCCATAGTTTCTTGTTGGTGATTCTTTCCGGCCCGGCCATCTGATTGATCTTCAGTATAGAGCCAGTGAAGACAGTTGTTGGTTGATAAAGGTCTGCAACAGGCTGTTGGAAATATTCTTTTTGACCAACCCGCCAAGTTTCTGATTCGTGTAGAAGAGCTGACTGACTTGACGTTTTTTGTATTGAAAATCCAACTGAATTTTGTTGTTGATGGTGGTTAAGTGACGAAGATTTCCAGATTGGTTTCAGGTTGATGAGTGAATGTCTTTCTCGCTCGCCTTCCCGATTGTCGCTCGATTTGACATCCTCGTCCCTTCCGACTTCCTGTAGTTGAGACAATGCTGCCTAGATCAGTGAGTGAATGAAGTAACCTCTTTCAAATCCCTCCTATTGACGATCATTGGCGCTGGATGTTGCTGCTGTTGTTGTTGTTGTTGGTTGATTATTTTCATAACCTCCGTCTTGTCTATGTTCACGTGGAGTCCTGTCTTTGGTGCTTCTCCGACCACTTTGTCGGTTTTCGCTTGTAAGTCTTCGATTTTGTGTGACATCAAACATAAATCATCCACGCGCGAAATCCAGGTCTTCTAGGTTCTTCGCGTCGGTCCAGGATATCCCTGTCTTTTCGTTTCCCACTGTCTGATGCGTAATCCACTCAGTCCACCACAATCAGGAATATCATTGGTGATAACAGACAAGCACCCTTGCCTGACTCCTGTGTTTACTCCAAACGCCTCGCTGAGTTTTCCGTTTTGGATCACTTGACATGTTCCATTGTCTTACAGCTAGCTGTTGAATAAGGTTGATGAATATTTGGGGTACACCGTAGTACTCGAGTAGCTTCCAAATTACTTCGCGGTCAACGCTGTCGAAGTCTTTCTCTAAGTCTATAAAGTTGAGGTAGGGTTAGGTTTGATTGCCATTCCATGCTTTGTTCTGTGATGATGATGCGTAGAGTTGCAATTCGGTCAGAACATGATTTGCCTTTCCTGAATTCGGCTTGTTCTTGTCGGAGTTCTATATCCAATGCATCCTTTATTCTCTCCAGGATGATGCGACTCAGAATTTTACTTGGCGTGGACAGGAGCATGATTCCTGTAAGTAAGTAGTATTTTTAATAGCCAGCCAGATGAAAGTGTCAGACATAAAGCAACATACTGGCTGAAGAGGCTAGCAGTGAAGACAGGACTCCAAGGGGATGTAAAGAAGGTGGAGGTGATGAATATAGCTAACCACTATCAAAGGGGAGAGATTTAACAGAGGTTACTTCTTTCACTGATCTAGGCAACCAGCATCGTTTCAACTACACGGGGGGACAGATGATGATGTCAAAGTTAGAATGGGAAAGGCAAGACACCCCTTCTTCAAGCTGAAACCAGTTTGGAAATCTGCTGAACTTCACCTCATCGTAATAGCGAACAAGATTCGAATTTTTTTTTTACCACACTGCTTCTATACGGGTCAGGAACTTGGCCAGCGTGTCACAAATACGACTTCCAAAATGCTATAAATTTTCTACAAACAGCTCCCCAGTTTGCTGGCTCCATATAATGAAGACCAAATGGTTGATCGGCCAGAAAGAATTAGCAAGAAATAAATCTGGCTGGCTGGGAACAAACCAATCAGGAGCCGATAGCTCAACAAATATGTAGGAGGAAATGGAGATAGATTGATTGGG